ATTCATCCAAATTAGGCCTTAACATGCTTGAATTGCATGAATTATGTTCTCCAAAGCCATCATTGTTACCTAAAGCTCAATTAACTGAAAGATAAACACAAAAAGGATTAAAAGCACAAGTTTAACTCAAAAACATAACCAAATCATAAGCTAGAAGGGTAAGAAATAATATACAATTATGAACCGATCATCACCACAGAGAGATTGGTTTGCAGCGATGGTGTCAGCTGCAAGGCAAACATGGGTTTTGAGATGTAGGCATAAGCAAAGCAAAAGCACCAAACTTTGTTTGGTTTTGGCATCCATGGCTGCACAAAACCAATTTGCAGACAAGTTCTAGATAATGTATTGCACCAATAACTTAAACTTTAAAGAAGGAAGAGAGAGAGAGAGAGAGAGAGAGTGAGAGAGAGAGTGGACTTGAATTTTCTCTTCTACCCCATGGTTTTGGTCATTTGGTGGAGATTGGACTTGGGCAGCTGTGCGGCAAAGTCATCATCGTGCCATTTGTGGCAAAAACTAAAAGATAAACTCTTCTGTCTGCAAGTAAAATTGTATCACCTTTGGAGAAACTCAGGTCATGTGGTCAACCAACCATGCAATAAGATTGGACCACAAAACCATGTATGAACAGAGTTTGATGCCATTTGTAGCTTTGTCAGCTGCAATGGACCAAGAAATGAGCCGCGCCTTACTTACGTTTGAGCAAATTTATATACCTTCTTCAACAGTCAACAAAAATTCAGTCATGACCAATTGTACTATACCAACAGATGAACAAAAAGTTTGAAACTTGGACCCATTGGCTAGATTTTCCTTTTGTTTTGCCGTGTTCGAAAGGCTACACAAATCACTTTCTTTGCTAGATTTGTGCTTTATTGCTGTTTTTTTTTGTTTTTGTTTTTGTTTTTGTTTGTAGTGGTTGTAATAACCTGTATCCTTTCTTCCTGGGCAGAGGCAAATATTTTTCCAACCAATGTAACTTGTGGCTGGCGGTTCATCAGATAGAAAATCATCACTGGTTGGGTTCATACGGAAGCAATCTCAGCCCTTCATTTCATCTGTTTTTTTTGTGATAAATGTTGAAACCAACCTTAGTACTTGAAGGGAAAAGTCCAATAATAAAGACTCATTCATCGCAGCCCTGCTTGTTGCTAGGTATATTGGGAAGAAATGACCAGCCGTTAATATGGCAGAATTCATGCATGAAAGTGCATAAGAATAGGAAGAAAGTTTACAGCAGGAGGAATTGGAGTTTGCACCAACAACATTGGATGACTCTTTTCCAGAAGTGGAAGACCCTTTACAGGAAATAAACTTGGGGATAGAAGAGGTTCCTAGGCCTACTTTTATCAGTGCATTGCTAGAAGAACCATTGAATGATGAAATCATTGCACTTCTGCATGATTTCAGAGATTGTTTCGCATGGCATTATCATGAAATGCCTGGACTGGACAGAAGAATGGTATAGCACAAACTGCCAATAAAAGAAGGATACCTACCAGTCAAGCAGGCCAAAAGAAGGATGTCCATGGCGACAGAATTGAAAGTTAAAGAGGAAATAGAAAGACTGGTTAAAGCAGGCTTTATCATACTAGCCATTTATGCTGATTGGTTGTCTAACATTGTACCAGTTCTTAAAAGAAAGACAGGAGCAGTCAGAGTCTGCGTGGATTACAGGAATTTAAACGAGGCATCTCCTAAGGATGAATATCCTATGCCAATGGTAGACATGTTGGTAGATGGAGCTGCTCATAACCAAATGATATCATTCATAGATGACAACGCATGATCCAATCAAATAATGGTGGCAGAAGAGGACATCCAGAAAACTGCTTTCATGTGTCCAGGGCATATAGGCGCATTTGAATACGTTGTAATGCCTATTTGTTTAAGAAATGCAGGGGCTACTTATCAAAGAGCAATGAATTCTGTATTCCATGACCTGATAGGCCACTCCCTAGAGGTATACATAGATGATGTAGTGATTAAATCTCCAGAAAAGGGAAATCATGTATCCTGCTGGTCACCTCTAGCTGGCGCTCGTGTTGGAGAACCAGGCCGTGCACTTTGCGTGTGTCAGGTAAGGGATTCATCATGAGAATCGATCCTCGAACCATAGAGTACGTAGGTGTCGCTCAAACCCATCAAAAATTGCATCACCCTTTCTTTCTCTTCTCTCTCAGCAAGATTTTTCAGTCCTTCACAGTTACAGATAAAGGGGTCTTGGTATGAAGCCAACTCATCCCAAAGAGCTTTCAACTTTGTGTAATAGATGGAGATAGTTTACGTTCCTTGTCTGCACTCGACAATTTCTTGTCGAATCTGATAAATTCTGGCGTCATTGCTCTGTGAAAAGCGATCTCGAAGATTTGTCCAAACAGCCGCTGCTGTTTTAGCATAAAGGACACTGCCGGCGATGTTAGGATGGAGAGAGTGCAAGATTCATGACAGGACCATGTCATTGCAGCGCTGCCAGATTGCGAATTTCGGGTCATTGGATGAAGGAGCCTTGACTGATCCATCAACCAATCCAAGCTTGTTCTTGGCGCTGAGACTGAGATGCATAGATCTGCTCCATTGGCCATAATTGTGACCTTCGAGTTTGATGCTAACTAGGGAAAGTCCCGGTGTGTCGGAGTTGTGCAAAGACAGAGGATCGGAAGAGATAGGAGTCGTCTCTGTAGATTGTGATTCACTCATGATGTTGTGTTTCAATGGTGTTTGCAGTACGCTTGTGGTTGTAGCGGAAGGTGTTTGGGCAGAGTCACCAAGATAGGTGCTCTGATACCATGAGAAAGTTTAATGTATTTGATATGTCAAAAACTTCAAACAGATACAATATCTTTATACATACAGAGCACGTCTATTCTAGGTAAATACATACTAATGATTTGCTAATTATATGCAGATCCTACAATCTCTCAATCTCAGATCATTGACTGATTTTCTTTCCTACAATCTCTCAATCTCTCAATCTCATATCATTGACTGATTTTCTTTCCTTTAACAATAGGTAAGTGCGTGTTGACTGCTTAAGGCTGAATAAAAAAGCCAACACTAATAGAAGGTGCCAGTTTGTTTTTAACCAATTAGAGATGGATATATCAATAAATATGGTGTTGGTGATGCTAGCACTTGGAATTAATGTACTGTTGTCTCAGGTTGTGAGTCTTTGTAATCTTGGTTTTATGCAAATCTAAGCTTGTGACTTATGCAAATTTGCTACTTTGACAGTGATGATTGAAATGGGAGATATATTCAATTTCAAGGTCTGTCATAGATATGCTTGTGACTAATGAAACTGTTAGCTAAACAGTGTGTAGTTGAAGATAAACATGGTTGATCTTTTTCTCTTTATTTCAGTGTAGTGTGGTGCTCCTATTTATGTGTTTGTAAATGTGCAGGATGAAGTACAATAAGAAGAAGAAATCTTGTTAGGCACTGAGGTGTTCCAGTTAAGATTGTGATTGATTAAAAAATGATAGCAATCTAGTAATCACAATGATGATTATAGTGATTTAGATTGAAAAGGTAGTGTTTTGTGTTTTAACTTACAAATGATAAGATAGTGTTTTTTTCCTTTCGTTTTGTTTTGTTTTGTTTTTTCTAACCTAAGGAAAGATAGAATGCTATTTCGGACTTTAAGTGTAGTATATATCAAACCAGTTTTAGGATTTGATCTTTTTTTTTTCCCTATTTGAGTGTAGATTGTTATTCTATTTATGTGCAGGATGATATTTAGAGAGGGTTATTAGTTTAGTGCAAGAGACAGAAGAAGGATATGGCATTGTCATTGCAAGTGAATTGGAGTTTCAAGGTAATCACTCGCAATAAAGCTCCATCAAATGTTTCTGGGTGGAAAAAAGTGTGGTTGGAGACGAAGAAGGATATGGCATTGGCATTGCAGGTGAGTTAGAGTTCTTTCTTTGTAGGAAGTGGAATTAAGTCTTAAGGTGCTTGGGTGTTGCAGCTTGTTTTCATTTACCTTGTTGCTGCCCCTTTGGTCCACGACATATTTTTTCTATTTGAGCAATTAGATATATTATTGTCCTTGTGTTTTTATTAATTTTTAACACTTAAAAAGAATCATATTTTAAATTAATTCTGGTCCTAAACCAAAATACCTGCATAGGTCTGCCAAGGACTTCTGCACTATTATTGTTAGTTCACTAAACACGTTGAATAGGACATGGGATGCTTCCTTTGTGAGAAAAAGGTTTGTAATACCCCCTCTTTCCCCAAAGATTTCTGATGGCCTGAGTTATTTTCCACTCTCTGTCCCCAGACCATCTACCCTTCAGTTCTCGTTATCTTTTTTTTTTTTTGGGTCATAATCCAGTTCTCTTTATTTTATAATGTGTTTAGAACAATGTCATTTAGGAGTCTAACTTTACTAGGGTAATATCCTGTTTCTGCATGTCAGATTTATTTGAGGAGGTGGAAGGATTTGGTTTGGGGTTTTGGACAGAGGACCATTTGAGGTAAGAACCTCTTCTCATTACACTCAGTCCCATTTAAGGTGTGGATTATACTTTGGATTTTATGATTTATATTTTCTAATGGGTTTGTGCTATGCATGATATTAGTCTTTACATTGGTTTTTCGGAACTGTTTTCCTTCTTCATTTGTGGTAATTGATGATTTGATTTCTGTTATTATCACAAAGGCATGCTTAGACAGTTGATATTGAGAAGTATGAAAAATGAATTCAAATTTTATTAAGTCTGTTCAAATACCATTCTTGAACATTCTTAAATATTGATGACCAGTAATCAGTTTTCTTATGTGGATCCAAACTCTTTTTTAATGGCTTATTTAGTTAAGATTGTGAATTTCAGCTTTGGTCTCTCTCTCTCTCTCTCTCTATACATATATTTAACTTTTTTTGGTTTTGGTATCTTCTTGACCATTGACATTTCCTTATTTTGTTTCTTTTGTAAAGGAAGATGATTGGAGAGTTTGAGAAGATCAAGCAAACAATTGGCAGTGTTTGGGATTCCACGATATTAGGTCACAGTCTCTATCCCACAGGTGTTAAAGATCATGACTACAAAACTTGGGGATACAAAAGGAATAGTATACATGCATTTTGTTTTTTGGGTTCAAAATAGTATACAGGCTTAGTAACAGTCTTAGAATGGAGAAATAATGACTGCATAATTTGGTTTTACCAAAGGGAAGAATATATGGAGCTTGGCCTCCATTCTTTCAGTGGAAATGACTTTGAACTAAGGTGTTGTGACTGTGGTGATTTTGTGAATTATGCTATGTCTATATTTTGCTTTTGAATTCCTTTTCCTTTTAAAAAGAAATTGTTGCATGGAGTATGGTATGTTTTTATGCTGATATATGTTGTGTAATTTATAAAAAAATTAGTTGGGGAAGTCTTATAGTAATTTTATTTGGGACATTTAATACAAGTTTTATCAAAACTATATTAATTTAATTATAGAAAAAGAAAAAATGCATAATATTAATATTCAACAAAAAGTATTTTTCAGTTTTTAAAAACAATTAAAGAAACATCAAAATCAACATGTGACCAAATAATTCAGTATTTGAGACAAATACTTAGAAGTAGACAGATTTTCCTCGACCAAAAATATTGACATTAAATATAAACCAAGACCAAATTTTTATTTGGTTGCTTCTATTTCACAGATACGAGCTATTACTCTGTGGACGCTAAAGGTACATATTGACAGGACCCGCCCCGAATTCCTCGAAATCCGAGACGAATCCTGTAGAATTCCCGACATCACCCGATGTCAGGCCTACTCATTGAAACTATATCCTCTTTTCCCATAAAGGATTAAGGGCACGAGACTTCCTACCGAAATTTCGGCAGAGTCTCCCCTATAAATTGAACATTTCCCAAATTTCAATCTGCACAAAATTCACATTTTAATATACCAACAGGCAGCACGCACAATTTAATCTCATGCAATTCATATAATCGGCCTTCGGCCTTCAGATAATTCGAAACAGCACCAACAATATTCTTAAGTCGAACAATACATAAACCAAACAATTAATGGTCTCAAACAACTTTATAAATACCACGGAAATCATTAAACCGGATTCAAACCCAACAATAACATCGAAAATCACGTGCGCAGAATCGATCAAACCTTTTAAACACAATCATATCTCGCGGCTGCGCCTGATGAGACCCCAGGCTGCCTACGTACCCTTGGACAAGGGATCAAGCCACACGTAGTTCTCATCTCAACAGTCA